AATTTTTAATGGACTCAATGTATAATTATAAATTAATTAAAAATATTAAGGTAAATTATTTAAAATAAAATATTAGTTACATTATTTTTTATAAATTTTTTTAACAACAATTAGATCAAATAGCAACCCCAAATTAAAAAATTCTAAATATTTTTTTCTTCTCATTGAACGGTGGCCATGCAAGGAGGGAAGAACAGTGGTGACAATCTCGCCGGCGGAAGAGGGTAATGGCAGCGAAAACTTCAATGGCAAGGAAAAATATTTATGTTTTTTAATTTAGGAGTTGATATTTGATTCAATTATTGTTAAAAAATATTATGAAAAATAATGTAATTAATATTTTATTTAAAACAATTCACCTTTAAAATTTTAATTAATTTATAATTATAGGTTGAATACTTTAAGATTTAAGTTTTTATAAAATTAATAGTACTCATCCACGATCGTCAAGCATCACGGAATCTTCCTAAAGCATAATACTTACAATAATAAAAGAATCAGTTTGTATGAGATTTAAAATTAAAGGCCAATTTGTTTAAATGGAATATAATATAATGTATAATTTCGCCCCTTGCAAACCACCGACACTATGTTTGGTTTTGGCCATTTGGGTGTGAGTCGTACACGTCTTTGACCACTGCGTTTTCTTGTAGTTGACTTTTGTGTAATTGACGGTACTAACTACGAGATTATTTTTCAAAATATAAGAAAATTAGGGCTAAAAACATGAAATCGATAAGTTTACTCGAAAAGTTTGAATATTGTTTAATTTGAAAAGTTTAAAATACAGCTTGACTAAACTCTAAAACATTTAAGTTTAGAATTTTAATGCTCGATTCGGATTTAAAATAAAAAAGTGAAGTTTGACTCGAAAGTTTGTAAGTTTAAAATGTTCAAGCTTGATAACATCAAAAATTAAAACTCGAATAGAGTTCAAAAATACTTGAATCAAAAACATTCTCCGACTTAATTAGATTGAAGCTCAAACTTAAACTTTAAAAACATATGGAATTTTATATTTATTTTTTTTACAAAACAACATATAAATGTTCATATTATTAATATTTTAATTTAAAATTTAAATATTAATATATTATTTTTCGAATTACTCACGAGCTTTTGAGTTAGGTATCAAGTAGCTCGCTTTGACTCGTTAAGAATTCTAAGCGAGTTCAAACTCGAATCGATTCCATTCATTTTAAGTCAAACTTGAATAACTCACGATCTGTCTCGTCTCATTTACTATTCTAATTGTAATTGGTGTGTAAATAAAAATTTTAAAACATAATAATTTGTATTTATAGAGGAAATTGGACTTGGATCAACTAAAGTTGTTGGATTTGTTATGTGTTGTAACTAAAGCCCACTGGCTTTAACAAATTGATCCAAATGATTATTAGGGCTATAAAAATCATGAAAATGACATTGGCATGGCCTACGTATTAAAAAACCTAATTTTAAAAGACAAAATAACTTCAGTGACCGAAAATATCTTATAATATACGATTTTAACCAATTTTTTTGTGATTTGCAAAAATGACCAACAAATTCGCAACGCGAACTCCAATTTCGCAACACAGGTTCCAAAATCGCAACGCGAAGTCAAAATTGCAACGCCAAAGTCAAATTCGCAACGCGAATAGTTAAATTGCAATGATAATATGTAATTCGCAAAGCGAATAAGTAAATCTCAACGATAATATGTAAATCACAACGCAAATTCTCCAAATTCGCAACTCGAATTTCGCAACGCTAATTACCGATATAGGTAATTAGCGTTGCGAAAATGAAATTCGCAACGCGAATAGGTAAATCGCAACGATAATATGTAAATCGCAACACGAATTCTCCAAATTCGCAACTCGAATTTCGCAACTTGAAATTCGCAACGTTAATGACCTATAGCGGTAATTAGCGTTGCGAAAACGAAATTCGCGTTGCGATTTTCCAAATTCGCAACGCGAATAGGTAAATCACAATGATAATATGTAAATCGCAACGCAAATTCTCCAAATTCGCAACTTGAATTTCGCAACGCCAATTACCGATATAGGTAATTTGCGTTGCGATAACGAAATTCGCAACGCGAATGTCAAATTTGAAACGCCAATTACCGATATAGGTAATTAGCGTTGCGAAAATGAAATTTTTCGCGTTGCGAAAACAAAATTCGCGTTGCGATTTTCCAAATTTGCAACGCGAATAGGTAAATCACAACGCGAAGTCTCCAAATTCGCAACTCGAATTTCGCAACACTAATTATCGATATAGGTAATTAGCATTGTGAAAATGAAATTCGCGTTGTGATTTGATTTTGGAGAATTGCGTTGCGAAAACGAAATACGCGTTGCGATTTTCCAAATTACCAACCGAAAGTAATTCGCAACAAATTACGTTGATTGCAGAATAGCGTTGCGAAAACAAAATTCGCGTTGCGATTTTCCAAATTCGCAACGCGAATAAATCGCAACGCGATTCTCCAATTCGCAACTCGAATTTCGCAACACTAATTACCAATATAGGTAATTAGCGTTGCAAAAAAATTCGCATTGCGATTTTGGAAATCACGTTGTGAAACGAAAATCACCTTGTGATAGTACTGTTTACCTATATCGTTAATTAGCGTTGCGAATTTGACTTATGTGTTGCGATTTACATATTATCGTTGCGATTTACCTATTCGCGTTGCGATTTTGGAACCTGTGTTGCGAAATTGGAGTTCGCGTTGCGAATTTGTTGGTCATTTTCGTAAATCCAAAAAAAATTAGTTAAAATCATATTATAAGTCATTTTCGGTCACTGAAGCTATTTTCTCATTTTAAATTCTTCTTTTCTCTCTAATCCTAATTTGCCACTCTTATCTTATCTTTCTCTACAACTATAATATCAAAATTAGCCCCAACGTTGATCAAAATGGTCATTTTACCTCTTATTATATTTTTTGGAGCATTTTAGCCCTTAATGTTCATTAAAGGTAAAAAGGCCATTAATATTTGAACGAGTAATCACTTTGTCCTTTATTTTTTTAGACATTTTAGCCTTGACATTTCATTTTAAGTTAAAAAGCACTATCTAGGGCTTTAATCGTGTGAATTAATGGTTTTCATCTATAGAGGGAGTTTTTTTTTTATCTCAAATTGAAACGTTTAGAGCTAAAATGCTCCAGAAAAAAATAGAGATCAAAATGATCATTTTGATAAACATTGGGGGTTACTTTTGGCATTATGCCTTCTCTAAAACTCAAAGTATTCATTCTTCTCTTCTCTCGCAGGACTGATTCACAACGTCCTATTGCTCATTACTGATATTTCATAGTTTACTCAAGTCATGGAAGGCCTGTCAACATGGTACCAATCAATTCGACCACAATCGTCACTGCAGATTTTTTGTAGTTGAGATATTTGGATCCAACTCTATCACCTATCATGGATGATGGTTCATCTGGTGATTTTGCAGTTCATCATTGATAGTGTTGGCAACAAGCAAGTCATATTGGGACTTGAAGACCTCAACTTTCTCCTTCGAAAGCAACAGCTTACTTCGATGATATGTGATCAGAGTCTGGAGACGAATCCACTCCGATGTTGACAAGGTTAGTGATTAACTCCTATGGAGAACAAAGTCATCAATTATGCATACATCATATTCACAAAACTGTTAGATCATTAACAATTAGATAATATGACTTTTAAGTGTCAACATATAAAAAAAAAATATATTTTTTATTCCACCTCAATATCATCTTCCACAAATATATAATTTTTTCAACATTTTAACCACTGTCGAAAACCATCATTCTCTAACATCTTTTTTGATCATCTTAGATAGCGATGAACTTACCTTACCGATGACCGACTACTACTGACAACAACAACTAGATGAGTTGGTTTTTGTAGAGATCAAATTGATACATAATCTGAATTCCAATGCTTAAAATTGAAACTTTTAAAGTCTAATGGCAAAATCAATTTACAAACTAAAGTTCAAGAGAAAGAAACTGTCATGTCATCACGTAATCAATAATCTAATGATTTAATATCTTAATTGAACCCAAATTAAAATTAATTATTAAAATTGAAGCAATTTAAAATTCAATAATAAAAATAATATACAACTTCTAAATTTTCATGGTGCGTTGTCTTTGAAAAAAATTGTAATAAATTATATGTTAATTTGTAATCAAACCGTTAATAATGATTAATTATTAACTATTATTTGTTGTTTAACAATCATACCTCGACAATTTAGAGGAAACATTGAATACTTACAATGTAGAAGTATCACATCAATAAAAAATGACAAAATACAAGAAACAATCGTATCATTATCCTGACATTAATGATGCGCTCTAACGTTTAAATTAATATTTTTGTACATTTTTAATAGATAAATTATGATTTTAATTTTTTTTATGGTTTTGGAACCTATAATTATTAGAGATATATTAATTGTCAACCAAAGTATTAGTTTGACAGCAAATTCCATATGATTATTATGATTCATTCAAATTGGGGGAGAAGTGAATAATCCGTAACTCTCACTGGTGAAATTACTAAAACCAATTAGTGTGAGCATTTGAAAGCAAAGTCCATTAGCTGCAAGCCGTTCAGCTGCAGCAATTAACTCTCATCACATTTGATAACAAAATAACAACCAACAGACAATATTAGCATTTAACTGTAATCGTCTTCAACACCAAGTTTTCAGATATGACTAAGCGTTTCAACCTCAAAATTTCTCGTCTTTTACTATCTTTCCGATTATGTCGATCAATAAAGGCTTCCAACTTGCCGGACATTCCAGTCCCTTTCGTTCGCCGCCTATCTCCGGTGAATCCTACAGCCTTAGGCGTGGCTATCGGAACCTGAACCTCCCTGCTCCGCCTCCTCCGACACCGGACTTGTCTGTTATCAAACGCCATGTATCACCGAAGATAGCATCAGTCACGAGAAATAAGATGGAGGATGTGAAGGCCAATGACAGTGGGTGTTCAGTAGCGAAAGAGCCGAGACCGAAACACTAATATCAACTTCCAGAACCTTCTGGGACGATTCGTCGTCGTTTGAGTTGGCTGAGGAATCTCACATGGAAACCAAGAAGAAGAAGAAACTAAGCAATGGGAAGATGGTGAAGAGACTGAGAAGCTTGGGGTCAAAGAAACACAGAGGAGATCCGCCGTGGAGGGCGGAAGGGAAGGTGAGGGAGAGCGTAGCGGTGGTGAAGAAATCGGAGGATCCTTACGAGGACTTCAAGAGGTCGATGATGGAAATGATAGTGGAGAAGCAGATGTTCCAAGTGGAGGAATTGGAGCAGCTGTTGCAGTTCTTTCTTTCGTTGAATTCCAGGGAATTTCATGGAATCATTGTGCAGGCCTTCACCGAGATTTGGGAAGCTTTGTTTTGTGACCAATAAATAGCTTTGGATCAATTCAAGATTAAATGAATTAGGTACGTACGAGTTAATAATCTCCACTGAATCACACTATTCATATTCCATATCATTTACACACAAAGATATGAATTAATTAAAATGTTGGAAGAAAAAAATTGCCACATTTATGAACTTCCCTTTATAATAATTCTTTCTTTCACTAATTCTTATGCTGTCGGACAAAAAAATTGTTGCTTCTTGACATCTTAAGTAGTTTGTTCATATGACAGGTTAACTGTAAATTGTAAAGAAAAATGACATGGTTGTGGATCGGAAGAGTATCACCTTGAAGATTAGGAGGACCAACATGACAGAGCACAGTATAACGAGTACCGTCGCACACGTTACCATGCCTCACTGTTTCTGCATTTTCCTGGCCTGCAACTCAAATCCATACAACATTTAAAATGATTACTCAAAAACATGTAAATGTGGATAAATAATGGGCAAAGATGAAAGAACTTTTGTAGTTGTTTGAGGGCTTCTTTGATTGTAGTTACAACATTCTGATTGTTGTGTTTATCCAATCGATAAAGGTGCTCCGTTTAGAGACTACATCTAATAACTATGAGAATCTTTTAAAAGAAAATATTTATTACAAAGGCAAATGTTACTGAAAAAGGAAAGTCTATGAATGTTGTATATTGTTTTTAGCAACATTTTAATTAATTGATATTTTTGTAAGTAATGCGGAACAAAAAGATTGATGTAGATATTTTTAATTGGTTAGGACCATTGATAACATGATCGAAAGGATCCATGAAATAATTTCTCTAATTGTTATCAAATTGTAGTTAGGCTGGTATCAAACTTGGATATATAAATGATTGTAATAGGACTTGACTCGATAATAATTAAAAGGTGATCAGTTCATAAAGAAATTAGAGATTGTTTTAAAAGGTGATCCACTATGTGATAAGCTAGGTCTTCTTATGGACTAGTTGTTTTACCTGGTATCCTAATTCTAGAGCTACTCATCATGTGATAGAGATCTAACAAGTCTGCAATCAAGATTGTAAGTCTTCAATTCTTATAATGTAATTTTTTTTAGTTATAATCGAAAATTTTATAAATTTATATAATTATTTAAGTTGTATATGATAATATTTTAAATTAAAATTTAAATAATTTTAAATTAGACTGTGTCACTACAAATTACTTGTGTAGTTAGATAGTAACCGGTCTTGTATTGGTAGAAGTCGATGTGTGATGTATTGCACATATATTATCCAATAGATATAATATTATATTTTACTTTTAGATCTGTACATCATGATTACTTAAAAGCATGGTTTTCAGAACCGGATCGGTTACCAAACCGATCATGCTACCGGTTCACTGGTTCAACCGGTCGAATCGGTCCGATCGGTCGGAAGAACCGGACGACGTCATAATTATTTAAAAAATTAAATAAAAATATCAAAAATATTTAATAAAAAATAATTTTTTATATCACAAGTCATATTCAAAGCAAGTCATAACATATATAAGTTAAAAACCATAAAATCAAGTGAAACAAAATGATTCAAATTAACTACAACATAATATTTAAGGTAAAACATATTAAATAATAAATATAATTATATAACTATAATTAAAAAATAAATTTGAGGTTAAAAAAATCATAACAAAATTATAACTATAATTATATAACTATTTTTTCACTTCAATCAAGCTTGAATTTTAGGCTTCAATCGAGCTTCTAATTTTTTTTTTGAGTTCAAGTTTTAATATTATATTTCAAGTTTGAGTTGAACTTGATAATTTTTAGCTTTTAAGTTTGAGTTGAGTTGAGCTTACTTTTAAAATTTTCAAGTTCGAGTCGAGCTCAGCAATACTCGAGTTCGACTTGGCTCGTTTAACAGACGACGTTGTTTGGTTTAATTTTTAAAAAAAAAACAAAAAACCCGGTTTTTTTTCGATTTTTTCTGGTTTTCAGCCGATCCGGTTCGAACGGTTCAGCGGTTCTGGCCGGTTCACTAATAGCGGTTCAATCGGTTTAGATTAAACCGAACTAAACAACGATTCCCAATTAAACCGATTAAATTGACCGATCCGGTCCAGTTTTCAAAACAGAGCTTAAAAGTAATTCTGCAGCTTCCATTGTTTTTTGTATCAGTCGAGACTCAATTTGACTCTATTACACTAGTTGTTTAATCTAATGATGGTGACGAGTTTCAATTTCTCGAGAATATTTTAACTCAGTTTAGTGTTGCACATAAAGTGGTTAGTCTACATTATTCTTAACAGGGATAACAATTTAACTTGAAATCGACTTGATTCGATTTTATAAGATCGAATTTTTTTTTAAAAAAAATTGAATTTGAGTTGGGTCGGATTTTATAAAAGAGTGAGATCAGGTTAGATGGAGAGTAAAAAAAACTTCAACCCAACCTGAGAGTAATAGTGTAATTTATTTAAATAAATTTATGAACAATTACTTTGATACCCCATCTCTATTATTATTTTTAATTAAGTTTTTATTTTATATTAGATTGGGTTGGGTCGAATTTATACCCTAAAAATTCGGGTCGGATTCAGAGCTAGGTGGGGAGAATATATGTTTTGAGTCGGGTGGTTATTATATATTTTTAAGACCGGGTTGGATTTATACTCTAAATATTTAGGTCGAAGTCAGAGTTAGATGGAAAATATATATATTTTGAGTCGAGGGATATTATATATTTTCTGATCAGATTGGATTGACCAAAAACCTGATCTAATCTAACCCGTTATAGTAATGTTTCTGTGGTTTCGCTGAGGAAAGTTGAGAGAGGGAGGAGATAAAGTAGGAAACGGCGGGGGGTTGTTCGTCTAGACTGAGGAGAGAATTGTAGGAAAAAGAAAATTATATAGGTTACCTATGAAGAGCGGCTGGGCGTTCGTCCCCAAATTTGATCCTCGATTGATTCAGTATGTTCTTCTAGCTTGGTGAGATCGACTCTTTCTCTTCTACCAGTGCTATTTATTTATAGATTGTTTACTGGTTCGTGCTGGAATTTTGGTTTTCTTAAGTATTTTGTTTTAAAGTTCTTGAGTTAATCTTTTCCTTGGTGTGGGATTGTGATAAAATAGCTTGTTTCTGGAGTCAATTTGTGACTGCTACTTCTGCATGCAAGGTGTTTGTGAAAAAGCCTCAGTAAACTAGGTTTTTATTCCTTCCTGTTCGGTGGTTGTGTTACTTTGTCAAGACCTATCAGAGAACTATTCTATCAAAATTCATAGATTTTTTCACAAAGTTTGAAAGACGAGGAGAGTTTCAGTAGTGGAGGATCCGACTCGTGTCTCCAAATGGTTTTCTGTGTTTGTTAACAATGTGAGTAAGAGGATCCATTCGGAAACTCTAAAGGAAGCTTTCAAGGAGTATGGTGTTGTGACTGACGTGTTCATAGCATACAGAAGCAAAAGTAGACAAGCATTTGGTTCCACTTTTGCCTTTGCAGGTTTAGAAGCAAATTGGAAGCTGAAACAACGGTCCATAGAGTTTTACATGATAACAAGGGTGTAGCAAAGTATAAGAGGGCTGAGACTGATAGTGTTTTTAATAAAGTTTGGAAGCCATTGTTAAGAGATTCTTGGTCCTTTAAGGAAGTCCTTGAAGGTCTGCAGACAGAAGATGGAAAATTACACGCTGATGAAGATAGCGTTCCTCCTAATAAAAAATCAGTGCCGAAAAATATGGTTCATGTTTCGATTGTTAAAGATAATGATCCTAGTCTACCACCAAAAGCCGATTGCAATATTAGGAATATCTCTATTTCGATGAAGGAGGTTTCATGGTGCCATACTTGTTTAGTTGGAAAAATAAAAAAATATGTATAACGAAGATATCGTACAAACAACCTTTAGTGAAGAAGGTTTAGAAGTCAAGGTCAATATCTGGCATGAACTCCTCACCGTTATTCAATTTAAAAATGAAAAGGATCGTCAGATTTGTTGGTCTAAAAGAGATGATTGGGTTTGTTGTTGGTTTGATGAGCTGGAATTACTGGAAGGCTATGAGAATAAAATCAAAGTTAACGTCTAGATTTCTTTGATGGATGTTCCGCTCTCAGTATGGAGTGAGAGGTTCATGGATTTAGGCAGTTTGTGGGGCAAAATTGTAGCGATAGATGAAGACACTCGAAGTCGGGCTAGGTTTGATGTAGCAAGGATTCTGTTGGAAGTACAGTTTGTTTCAGACATTCAGGATATGGTATCTATTGTTTTTAATGGAAGAATGTACTCCATCAAAATCTGAGCTGAAATCCAGTAAGAGGTCCGAATGTTCATAGACAACTCTCTGCCTGGTGATGGAGTGTGGCAAACAGCTGCCGAGGAAGCGACCACCAATCCACTGATCGAATAAGAGTGTGTTGTAGGTCCTCTGATCAAAGAAGCGTGCGCGGATGGAATTAGTCCCGAGACTGGTGTTAACGTAGTAGATCTTTGTGTTTCTTCCTGTCAGATGAGTGATAATGATGTTGGATCGGTGGCTGATAGATTAGAGCGTGCTGTATTAATGAGGTTAGAGCGACAGTTGTTGAGGGGGCTTGGCATGATGTCCCGATTATTTCTCATGTTGGCCCAAGTATTCAGCCCGTAGATGAGTGTTGGGCTGGTGGAAATAAACAGGGACTTGGATCAGCTTTGGGTGTTCCAGTCAATTTCTAATAATTCAAGATTGTTGTATGTCACTGTTGAAGAAGTATCATCCTTCAGAGTAGTGAAAGAAGGGCTAGTAGAAGTTTCACGCCTGGATTCTACTGCACAAATTCTGAAGGAGAATTTGGATTTGAAGAATTCTCTAGATGAAAATAATATAGTAAGGGCTGATAAAGGAGTGAATTCGTTTGACAAGGAAGCTTCTAAGAAAAATAAAGCTCTAAAAAGGAAGAAGGTGAAATTGAAAAGCTGTGGTGGTCCAATCCTCAAGATTGAACAAGGTCGACAATGGAGTTCTAGACGGGGTTAATTATGGCTGCCAATCCGATTCAGCAAATGAAGCTAAAGTTATTTTCGCTGTTAGCGAGGCCCTGGGTGTGGTTTTTTCTACGTCGAGAGGGGACGTGCTGTGCAGGTTGGAGCAGCTTGAGGAATCGTGTAAGAACTGATTTTGTAATTGTTTGATGTAGATTCGATTGCAGCTGTTTTGTTTTCTTCACTGGGTCTTTGCTTCATTGTTTCTGTTTTCATATCATGCTCCAGTTCTTCTAGAGAAAGCTTGAGAGGTTTGTTCAGTTGTCAGAATCGATTTGAATGTGGGGTATTGTTTGGTTTGAGCCTTGTTGTCTTGTTTCTCTTGCTTTAGCGGTAGTTGAGACATTTTCCAACACTTGTTTCAAGCACAAGTAATGAGCGGTTTTTGTTTTGATGGTCCGTTGATGTGTTTATCTTTGTTGGGGAGTGATTGTATATTGCATTTAGTCCATTGGTACTGCATTTTTGCGAGCTGGATTAAAGATTGAAGAATATAAGGTGTTATGTAATGTTATGTTGCTGTGTTTTACCACGTCTGGTGATGTAGTTATCTGCTGCTGTTCGGGCCCATCCCTTTGCTGCTGTGTTCGCTTTAGATCAGTTTGCTGTCCATTTTGTTCTATTTCTCACTGTTGCTTGGAAAGTATTGGTGTTTGTATGTGTTAGGTTGTGGTTTGGGTTATTTCTTGTTTGATGTAAGAGCTATTCTTGTATAAGATCCTTTCCATCTCAAGGTATACTTTTTTTTTTCCATTAAGGGTTAGAGATGTTTTTTTAATGAGATCATTGAGGTGGTGTACTTTGCAACTGATTTTAATACAAAATACCTTATTTCAAAAAAAATCTAACCTGTTAGCATTCCTACTTTTCAATGTAATGATGAGGCAGTAGAAAAGAGGCATAATCACATTATGAATATTCTCAAATAATGACTTGTTTATAAAATAAAATTCTTAAAACAATTTTTAATAATGTGAATTAAACCTAAAGTTTAAGGACCACGTTAAATATAAAAATAATTTAATATCACATTAATTTTTTAAAGAAAATTTTAAAACCTCGTATATCATTATGTTAATTAAAATTCCAAATCAAAAACCAAGAAAATTACAATTAACGGGCTTTTGGTTCTTTGGTCCGGATTCAATAAGCCGACCGGAAAAGCTCAAATTCCATCGAAGACTGGAGCCGTGAAGCCGCAAAATTACAAAATCAAAATAAAGAAAGAAAAAGCAAAAGCCCTCGACTTCTCCACCAGCTTCTCCCCCAGTGCCTCAGTTCCTTGTTACCTTCCTTCTTCGGACAGAAATGAAGGCTTCTTTGAAAGGAAGATATGCAAATGAGAAGAACACTACCGCCGCTACTTTTTCCGTCAACGCTGGCGATATCAAGCTACAAGCCTCCATTACTGACGCCACCGTCGTAGACGGTTCCAGCTTGAACGGCTTAACTTTAGCCGTTGAAAAGCCCGGATCTTTTATCATCGACTATGACGTCCCCAAAAAGGCACTCTTAACTTGAATACCAGTATTCCTTTAACTATACCTTCATTGAATCATTCACTTGCTAATTACTTCACTTTTTTTTTATATAGGATTTTCGATTTCAGTTTATGAACACTGTCAGGGTTGCAGAGTTGCCCTTGAAGCTTACTTACATTCACAGCAGAGGGGATAACCGGACGGTTTTCGATGGGGCGCTTATATTCGACTCTGCTAACAAGGTGTCTGGTAATTACACGCTTGGCACGGGGAACTGTAACCTCAAGTACAGTTACGTGCACGATGAAGTTACCACTTTCGAGCAGTGTTATGATTGGGGGAAGAACGCCTGGGATTTTGAGGTTTCGAGGAGAGTAGCCGACGACGTTTTCAAGGCAACGTATCAGACATGGAACAGCGATTTGGCTTTGGAGTGGTCGAGAAATTCCAAGTTTAATGGGACTTTTAAGGTAACCAAAACTAAATGACCAGTTATTTCGTTGTGTTTTCTTTGAATTTTTAGTGTTTCCATTGCATAGTATAGTTAACTAAGGAACTAAACTCTAGATTTTAGAGACAAGAAGTGAATTGAGGTTCATAGGATGACTTGTTCAACAGTTGTATACTTGTATTCATTGCAAAAGACTACGCAAAAGACTACACTTTCCCCATATACTTGATTTGTTCAAGAAATTGAGTGCAATTGTGAAAACTGAGGTATAATATGAATCGTATAATTTTGAATTTGGGGTTTGAGAAGCATTTTCTGCAAGAGGGTGCTTTTTTAAACATGGCTGCTTGGTGTGGTTCTGAAGAACACAAGTATAGTAAATAGCTGCTGTTTCCTTATATCCCCACATCAATGGGGACTCTAATGTCTTCTTGATTCAGTCTTCTGTTGTTTGAAGTGAATTAAGGTTCATAGGATGAATTGAATTACAAAATACTACGTTTTCCCATTTTATTAGGATAATGCAGCTGGTGAATTTTCAAGAAAGAATATTGTGGTATGAACTATTGTAATGTCATGTGAGGATGGATAGTTCAAGAAATTGAGTGCACGAGTGTAAACCGAAGTAATATGAAGCATAAGAATTTTGGATTTAGGGGCTCAAGAAGACGTATTATGCAGGAGGGTGTTTTCCTTTTCCCTTAAACATAGGTGCGTAGTGTGGTTCCGAGGAAGATAAGTAGTAGGTAACTGCTGTTTCCTTGTATTCCGAGATCACAAGAGAGTTCTTGATTCAGTCTTGTGTTGTTTGAAGAGGATATAGAATTTTTCAATTGGTCATTTTAACTCAATGCTGTCATATTGCTTGAAATGTTGAGAAAAGCATGTGAAGCAAGCAAGGCTGTAGATTGCTTGATCGTCTTGCTTATGTCTTTATAGGATTTGCATGGTATTTTATATTTGTTTAAGGCAAGGCTTTTACCGAATGATCCTGAATTTGGAGAAGTGAAGAAAAATGGCAGTTGTGTGTATTAGTTTCAACTAAGTAAATAATAATACAAAAATTGTGTTTAGGTTCCATGAACACGTTGATTTGGAGAATGATGTAAACTGCCAAGATGTCATGAATCTCTCTCATTATCTCCCCTTTTTCCATTGAGTTATGATATGTTAGTTTGATATTAAGTTTTGGATGACTTAATACAATTTGCTGAAATGATGATTGCTTAGCTTTTGTTTTTGGTAAAATGGAAGCTGCATCCTAAATATAGAGGTAGGGATTGCAGGCTTGCAGGGCTTTTTTCTATATGAACCCTAAACATATTAGATGTCACATCTTATGGGTAGGGATGTGCATTCTGTTGATTCGGTTTTATATAAGAAAATCAAATAAATCGAATAAACTGAAATGACTTTATTATCAAAATCGAAATATCCTCAATGTATTTCACCCTAACCATGATCCTTTTCTTATTTGTTTTTTCCAGATTTCAGCACACATGAATCTGGCCGAAGAATCTAAGATTCCCAGAATTATTGCCGAGAGTAGTTGGGATTTGGAAATTTGAAATGTTGTTTCAATTCTATACATTTGGATAAACAAGTATTGTAGGCTTTGTTGTTGGTCGTACCATACCTGCACTGCTGTTTTCTGAAATTATGAAATATCACATCTCCTTTCTTGCACTTTGGAGTTTACTGCTTTATGAAGCTGTATAATCCTTGTTCTAAAACTTATATTTAAATATGCTTTGGACATTCGATATAGGTATTCTGAGAAAAGAATTAACACAATTTTATATAATGTTGGGAGGTCTGTGTCCTAATGTCAAATAATGGATGATCTCAAGTCTAAACCTACCAATTTTGATCCGAACTCAAATATTTGATCTAATCAAATTGAATTCAACTGTGTTCTACTCATACTTAATACTTAAATTGATTATAAAAGATTGGCAATCCGAACATATTTGATTCGAATTCAATTTGACCTAAACCCAAATTAATACAAACCTTGAATAATCTTGAACTTAAATGCCTTGAATTTGGTGTCTTCTCCTCAGGCCAACTCTAGTCCCATAGCTCTTGTGCGCTCCATCCCAGCCTTGTTACTAAACCATGGATGATTGAATTTCTTCTCATCCTCCGCGAAGCAAACGCTGCTGCAGACTACCTCGCGAAATCCACTACTCACAACGATGGTCATACTTGCATTTACATGGAAACCCCACAGACGATCACTCCTCACCTCTCTCATGACCTTGGCCCGTTTGGTTCAAGTAATGTTATATTACCCTCACTCCCCCGTTTGATTGGTCAGTAATCCTATTTCCGGTAATCTTTTATTACCGACAGTGATTTTTTAGGGTATATTACCGGAAATGTGATTACCCCCTCTCTTAGGTATTGTTGGATTACCGGCGTTTTGGACTAAAATGCCCTTAATTTTTTTCTTTTCAAAAATATTCTTCTTCTGTCGTTGAATAATAAAAATTCTACGAATGTTAAATTACAAATTTATCCTTAAAGAATTTTACTATAATATTACTATAATTAATTTATATATTTTCTTTAAAAATTTTAAATTCATAAAATTCATATAGTTTTTTTTACAAAATTGAAAAGATAAATAGGTTTAATGAAAGGGTAAAATTTTATTTTAACCCCTGAGCTTCATATAAAATTTTAATTATTGATTTTTTTTTGTAAATCTAAAATAGTTTAAGGATAAATTTTTAATTGAACCTTCATAGAATTTTTAATATTCAACGACAGGAGAAGAATATTTTTGAAAAAAAAAATTAAGGGCATTTTAGTCCAAAACGCTGGTAATCCAACAATACCTAAGGGACGAAGGTAATCACATTCCCAATAATATACCCAAAAAAAATCCACTATTGGTAATAAAATATTACCGAAAATAGGATTATTGGCCAACCAAACGGGGGACTGAGGATTCCATTCCCCCTGTAATATCTTATGCCGTGAACCAAACGACTCCTTATGGTTCCACTTTCCTTTGATTAGTATCTTATTATAATGGCCTTGGCCTTCTTTTTAATTCAAATATATATACATACATATATATATATATATATATATATATATATATATGATAATAATATGTTAAGTCAAATTGAGTCAGATTCTTTTATCCTAAATCTGAATTTAATTTAATTTAATTACACTATAAAAAATTGATCAGATCGAAATGTTTCAAATCTGAAATAAATTATCATCCCCAATTATAAATAGTTTAACCTGACTGAATCATTATCCGTAGATATATTTTATTACCAAAAACGCAAGTTTATATCTCCAAAATCCTTGCCCAAATCCCATAACTTCGTCGTATTGAGTCTAAGCCATTAAACCCAAAGTCAAAACTTAGTTATGTGATGTCTCTCTTTTCTAACCAGCTCTCCGGTTTTACTTTTCCCACATCATTTTCCTCAAATCTAACATAGATTCCACCCGAAATACAATAAACCTAGATCCAAAAACTCACAATTAAGATCTGCAGTTCATACAGGCTCTGGGTTTTGTAATGGAAAAACATTGAATAAAAAAAAACAGTCTTCAAGCTTCTTTTCCCCTTTCAAATGGCAAATCCCCACAAAGTCGGGTTCTTTCTCTTCTTTTGTCTTCTCTTAGTTTTTGCAAACTCTAACTCTGTTTTAATCCAAAATGACCCCGGGCATGACCAGGTTCCTCACCATGAATCTCAAGCCAAGGTTTCATCTGATCATTTTAATGATCCACAGCAAGTTATGTTACTGAAACTTGAAGAATTAGTGAGAAATCTTAGTGAAGTAGTTTCTAGGTTAGAAACAAAGCTATCAGAGTCTTCAAAAGTTGACGATGGGCTTAATGTTGGGAAGAAAGATGAAATAAGTTTAAGAAAATATGATGGTAGAACGAAAAATCAAGATATTGAAGCTAAAGATGGGGAAATAGGGAGGGGCCTTTCTGTTACTAAATACAGTCCGTTCTGGTCTGAGAGGTTTCAATTTATGTCAACCGTGAAGTTAGGGTCTACTGCAACTTGTATAAACGTCTTTCCCTTTCGTGATTACGAGGGACTTAGCAAGTATGTTGCTGTTGGGGATGAAAGAGGAAGGGTTTATGTGTTCTTAAGGAATGGGGATGTTGTGGTTGAGTTTTATACCGAGCGCGAGTCACCGATTATGGCAATGGTTTCGTACATGTCTGTTTATAAGAATGAGAGTTTCGTTGTCACTGGACATCAAAATGGCGTGATCTTGATGCATAGAGTTTTTGAGAGACTAAACGGAGAAGAGTCGAGTTCGCTTGTGATGGAAACTGTTGGTAAATTTGTGGCTGCTGAAAGTGGGGAAGATGGGTTGCCAATAACTACATTGGATGTTCATCATGTTGGAAGGATGAGGTATATTTTGTCTACGGATCTCAGTGGGAAAATCAGAGTTATTAGAGAAGACGGAGCACTTTATGGTTCTGCCATGCCTAGAAGTAGGCCGCTTGTGTTCTTGAAGCAAAGGCTTTTGTTCTTGACGGAGACTGGTGCCGGGCATTGGATATGCGAAGCTTGAAAATCAAGGAATCAGAATGTGAAGGGTTGAATCATTCCCTCACTAGGAATTATGTCTTTGATGCAACGGAGCGGTCTAAGGCGTATGGTTTTACATCAGATGGTGATTTGATTCATGTTCTGTTGTTGGGTGATATTACGAACTTCAAGTGCAGGGTTAGGTCCAAGAAAAATCTGGAAATGCATGAGCCTCTTGCATTTCAGGCTATTAAAGGGTACTTGATTATTGTTGATCCGGAAAAGGTTTTCGTGTTTAACATTTCTACCCCACATTATGTCAGGGCTGGTGTGCCACGGCTTCTTTTCTCCACATCTTTGGATGAGATCAAGTCATCGCTCTTAACTTACCAAGTGATGGGTACAAATAAAGAGAGAAGACAGGTGATGCCAGTAATAGCTAGTGATCGTGAAAAGCTCGTTGTTCTTGGACTCGGAGGTGAGTATGTGGGGATGTATCACTCTAACCTTCCAGTTTTGAAAGCGGAATCTAATACGATCCTATGGACCAGCCCTGTGTTGTTTTTCATACTTTTCCTATTCGGTGCATGGCAATTCTTTGCCAAGAAGAAAGAGGCACTTACTTTATGGGGACCTGATGACCCTTTTAGCTCCACCTCCACAACAGCTACAAATGGTGCCCCGTTAGGATCTAACACCGTAGACAGGCCTTTTATAGATTCTTCTTCAAGCGGTTCTGATATGGCGGACCTGAGAAGCAGCGGTCTTCGAGGTCGAAGGTATGCATCTCCTTCTCGATATCCAGCTGGAGCTACCACTTCTTTCAGGCCGAATTCTGCTGATCCCATCTCTAGACCCACTTCCGTTGATCCCAATTATAGAGCTGCACCTGAGCTAAATTATAAGGTTTCAACCCTTGAACCGCTGCCCGGCTTTTCCAATAGAAGAGAGAGTTTATTTGCGAACACCCAAGTTTCAGATAACAGTTAACTCTTACAACCAGTTTCCTTTAACTTCTACTTCAAGGGAGAGTTCTTTTAGATTCTTTTGGCTGTTGTTAAGATATTACGAAGCCATTTGAACCTGCCATGTTGTATTTTTAGTTCTCAATAACATAACAAAGAATAAATGCAATAATTTAAAGCATCTTCTTTTTTGAAGAATACCTCTAAAATTCTGTTCTTGCAGCATTTATCTTTATGGTAAATATTCTTTAATTTCAATTTGAGTTCTTAGATATCCTTGAACTGCTTGTAGACTGCCTTTGTACCAAACAGTGTAGGTGGCATATTGGAGTCCCCGACCGGACGAGCGCGATTTTAGTAGTTCTGATACCGGCACTCGTGACTCAGAATCAAATTCCCGAGTTGAAGTAATTCACAAGCTCAAACCCCATGGCATTTGCTTGTGAATCTGATTGAAGAGTAGTGTTTTTGGTTTACTTAAAGAGGGTCTGAGAATGCTAGAGTTTTTACCCATAGAATTTCATCTTATACAGCACATTAGCCTCCAAATAAAATTTTATTTTTTTCCGTTAAGGCCACTGTCGAGTTGTTGATGTTTCTTAATCGCCTTACTTTATGCTATTTGTAATTATTATTAAAAATAGAATTTAAAAAAAATATTGTATAATGATAAGTTTTTATTATGTAGTATTATAATGTTATAATTGTTTATGTAATTTACAATGTTTACATGTCTATTCTTTACATATTATAAGCATATAATTGTTTCATATCATACAATTAATATAATTATGATTTGAAAATTTTTAATTATTAAATTATTTTATATTTTTATATTTAAAATATATTTAGATGAAAACAAAATGTTTAAATAATGAAAAATAAACATGTATGTATGTATACGGGCAACACACGTTTTAGAAAGAAAGAAAACTAGTATTAAAAAACATTATTAAAATCTATTTAGACTAATTTCTGCTTATTTTCATTCTGTTTTAATTTTATAATAATTCTTTTGAATATTTAATTTACTAATTAATATGTATAAATTTCCTAATCATAAAAAAAATTCTTAATCGTATAATTTGTGAAGTATTTAAATTTTTTAAAAATTATATTAATGAATTTAAAATAAAGTAAATACTAAATACAATAAAATCATGTATGGAAACTAATCTTCTTCTATAGTTAAAATGCTTGTATGTCCTCTTAATTATGTCGATTAATATATATATATTTTTACCAAAGTTCAGTTCATTCTAAATCATTTGAAAAATTGCTTTATGCCATTTTAAATTATTAAATATCATATCATATTATTAACATTATTATTTTTCATAATTAAATTAAAATGATTTATTTAAAATTCCTCTTTGCTTTGGCATACATTGTCAACATTTGGTAGGGCATAGAAATATTTAGTTTGATGTAATGATGATGCATTAAAAGGAAATTGTAATTGCCATAAACTTATGTTGAAAGGGAGTGTTAGTACTCATAGTTTGCTTTTGGTTGAACTTGCACATGCATGCAACTTCAAAAGCTTAAGAAATCATTATCCTAGCAATTATTTGTGGATTATGACTGGTTTATATTGCCCCACTTCCTTATAATCACACAATGAGTTAAAATGACATTTTCAAAAGAAAAAGGAAATCGATTTGTCATTTCCCCTCCATATTATACTTAATTTGAAGTAGTTTTCATTTTACAGTATATATGTATAATTTTATATGAATTAGATTAGTGAAATTTTACAAATTTGAAACAAAAATGTATATGGATTGTCCATTTGAGTAGGCCCGTGCTTGATGAAATCGCCGGTGTCCGAATGGTTGTGGAGGGCAGTGCGGCTTCGGTCGCGTCAACTATCAAACCAAAGCTAAAAGAAACACACATCTGAAACCAGATCTCTTATCCTTTTGCAAAAAGTCGCCTTTTCTCACGTAACTTTGTATTTTTATTAAACTCATTTTTATTCTTGAATATAATATGTATAAACTAAAATTAAATTAAAATACTTTAATTAAGAAATAAATTCATGAACAGGATTAAAAGATACTAAAAATTGTTTATCCGAAAGACGAGTTAAACTGTTTATACATCAACTAATTTCAGTATGTCGTAATAAAAGAAATATTACCTTCAAATACGACATGATTTTTAAGCTTCAACAAAGACAAAAAAATACAAATAAATGGAATTTGTTTATTAACATAAATAAACAAATCAATAAATAGGTTTATAAATAAATTTATTCGTGAACAAAAACAAATTAAATACATATACATTCATATTTATTCGTTTATTAAATAAACATAAAAATTTTATCCATAATCATTTATTTAATTTAATAAAAATAAATAAATAAATATTATACAACCAATTTATTTAACATACCATTCATTTGTACTTATAAACAAAACACAGATTTTTAAGGGGAAAAAAGTTGAAAAGTCAAAAAAACTCCGCCTTCCGGTGCCACTGCCATGAGAATTTTGTTTTTCGTCTAGGGGTATAGTTGACTTTTGGTTCAACTCTCAAAATGGATCACAAAAAATTATGCGTGGAATTTCACTAAACGACAAGCACCGCCTAGTCATGACTTCTCCGACAAATTTAGAAAGCCGGTTCCCTGACACGTGGACGGTCAGAGATTGAAAAACCAAGTTGAAGAGTAGCTGAGCTTAAGCTTGGTCTAATTCTAGATTCAGTCCCTTTATCATGTTAAAATATAAATTTTAATCCTATAATTTGGATTCACAAGTTTTAGTAGCTCTACTTTTATAATTTTTTATAAGGTTTAAATTGGCAATGCTGTTGCTTTCTATCATTCAAGTGATTAGATGATGTTTTATTGTTATTCAATCATTCATTGAAGATTACATAGAAATTAAGTTAAAAATGTTTTAGCTTAATTAATAATAAATTTATTTGTCACTTGAATTCTTAAAATAATTATAAAAATTAGTATATCAATTTAAGAATAATAATAATTAATGCCTAATTGTGTTATTAATTTTAAATTACCAATAAAACTATAGAAATAGAAAGATTAAATTATGATAAATTAAATAAAAGTACTACATATTAAAGTTAAACATAATAGAGTTACTAAAATCATAAATATACAGTTTGTCATTAAATCTGGCATCGCTTTAACTATTTTGTATTTTTTTAGTTCATTTAAATCTCTTTCTTTTTTCTATTTACTTGCTTCTCTTCAATGTCTGTATATTCCTATTTTTGTCCCTCTCTCTGTAATTACAGACCATGAAGCCGCCTTATGAGACCTCCTCGTGCTCTGCTCCACCCTTAGCTGAAATAACTCTTTGAAATTCGTCTTGTTTTCAGTTCAGTTTTGCTTCCTGTTTTCACTCAAACGAAAGCTATAACGCTTAGAGATTCGTCTTTTTCCCTCGTGAATAGTGGATAACAATCATACCGTTTGATATTCAAGCCAACATTTGCGGTGAATTGTTGTATTATTGGAACTCCAAAACTCGATGGTTTCCTCCAACTAAAACTGGGTTTCATTTCTTTGAGCTTAAAACATGGGGGAGCTTCAAAACTCATCTTCAATGGCTGTTTCTACGGCTTCCGGTGAAACAAGTGTATCTTCTTCAGGAGGACGGCCGCCGAAGAAGAAAAGAAATCTTCCTGGGATGCCAGGTGAATTATAACAACACTCAAAAGTCCACTCTATTCTTTTAATCTACGTAGTTTAATTGTGAATTTAATTGATTTATTCAGATCCAGAAGCCGAGGTGATAGCTTTATCTCCAAAAACCCTACTAGCCACCAACCCTTTCGTTTGCGAGATCTGCAAAAAGGGCTTCCAACGCGACCAAAACCTTCAACTCCACCTCCGTGGCCATAACTTACCGTGGAAGCTCCGTCAAAGAACAACCGGAAAAGAGATACGAAAGCGAGTCTATGTTTGCCCCGAGCCTGGGTGCGTACACCACGACCCGGCTCGAGCCTTGGGTGATCTTACCGGTATCAAGAAACACTTTTGCAGAAAACACGGTGAAAAGAAATGGAAATGCGACCGGTGCTCTAAAATGTACGCCGTTAAGTCCGACTGGAAGGCCCACATGAAGACCTGTGGCACCCGAGAGTATAAATGCGATTGTGGCTCCATTTTTTCCAGGTAAAGACAAACTCGTCCATACGTTATAATATTTCTGTTTCGTAATTGAACCCGTTTGACTGTTGATGATGTTTCTTGAAGGAGGGATAGTTTCTTTACGCATAGAGCTTTCTGCGATGCGTTGGCCGAGGAAACCGCGAGGGTTGGAGCAGCAACTGCACCACCGCCTTCACAGCCTTTAACACCGTCTACTCCTAGCGTGGTTGCACCGGCGGCACCATCATCAATCTTTCAAACAGCAGCAGCCTTAGAGGGCACAACATCCCTCTCTCTTTCCTCTCCGCTCTACCTCTCCAACAATATCTCTTCAATCTTGACCGGACCAGTCATGTCGGCTACTGCATTGCTCCAGAAGGCTGCCCAAATGGGGGCAGCATCACCGTACCCTTCACTATTTCATGGACTAGGCTTTTCAGTATCATCATCAGCACCCTCTGTCGGGAAACATCTCAATGTTAAGTCAGAGAGCAATTCAACGTCGACAGCAAGTATGAGGCACGGCCTTCCCTTGATAGGCTCATCCCCGCCTACGACGCTTGATTTTTTAGGGGTTGGCATGGGTGATGGTGGAACTTCCTCGAGAGGATTATCTGCTTTGCTCACTTCATTTGGAGGCGGATACGGTGTGGAAGCAGCTGCAACCACACCATTCGGCGCAGGTGGGAGTTCGAATAAAGAAACATGGGAAGGTGCAGCCGAGCGAAAGACCAGTTGTTAAACCTTGAACACCAGTGCTTAGTAACCGAGATAAAGATTTGAGTTTTCTTTCCGTTTTACAGTTAATTTGCCGTTGTTAAAATCATGGTTCCAAGTATCGTATACGGTACATTACCTATAGTTTTGTTTCTAAACCCATATCAAATAGTTTAATTTAACTTCATTTCCATTAAAACTTCTGTAGATTTTAATGGTGGGATTTGATCCGTTTAGATTAATACTGTTTGTAAAATTTTATTTTTTACTAATATTTTTATTAACATTTTTTTACTTTTATAGAAAATGAATCACAATTTGAATATGATGTTACTATATAACGATAGTTATTGTTTAGGAGTTGAATTTACCAAAAATTGACTGAACAAGTAGCCAACCTCTCAGTTAAAATCCCATTAATTAAAGTTCTGGGACGTGTAGTCCAAGTTCGAGAGTGATTGAAATATGACGGAGCATTTGATGAGGTTGCATTTGAAACGTTGGTCAAAAATGGGTCGGCGACTCAATTCCAAACACGATGTTGAGACATTTGTAGTTGAGATTTCAATACCTATTTACTAAGGTTGAGTTGGCAACCCACTGCTTCATTCATGTTTGTCCTGCCTGCTGGGCCCTTACAATTCTACCAGTGGTGCCGTGCTGGGGTTTATGATATGAAAAATTGGGCGATTTTCCCGAAAATCACATTTTCCTTAAAATATTTACGTATGAGATACCTTTAAGATAATATTTCGGATCTAACACCTTTGTAGAAAGACGCGACCCATGCATCGCTCCTTACGCTAATGTGGCGCCACGCAGGGTAAGGCGCAATGCATGGGTCGCGCCTTACTGTCGTCTGACACACGCGCCAGATAAACGCGGTGCATGAGCATCGCCTTGTATAATTATATCTGCATTTCTCGGCTTTTTAAACTTTTCTCTTGACGATAAATATGTTCTTAACCCGTAAACATTCACAGTAATCCTCTCAACCCGAAAAATCACACAACAAACCTTTAACCCGTAAATATCACCCGACAATCCTTTTATCTTTGATTCAGAAGTTCGTTCCATCTTTCATTGTAAGGTAATTTTTTAATATCTAATATTTTTTATAATTATATATGATTATTTGAAAAAATATTTTACTAATTATTTTCAATTAATTTGAGTGGTTGTAAAATTGGAAAGCGGGAACATACGTCGAAATATTTTTACCGATACGGTAATAATATAAAAATATATTATTTAAACTATTTACATTTATATATAAAAAATTTATTGCGTTATATTTTAATTTATATATTATTTATTTAATTAGGCTTGTTTCAGGTTTTTTTTGCAGATATAAGATTGTCTCCCTTTCAAACTCTAAGAATGACGCGAATTTCAGCTATTGTTTATTATGATGGAGAAATTCGAGAAGATGAAACCGACGTTGTTTTCGTATCAAATCATTATGTTAAAATATCCTTCAAGAGAAACATAACTCTTGAGGAGCTGATAACGAATATTCTAATGAAGGTTAATGTTGGAAGTACTAGAAGAATGTATCTTACAACGAACTTTCAATTTGGTTTAGGGTGGTGCGGAGGTTGAATCCCGAGACAATTGTGGACTTCGAAACTTGCCATGCATACCATAATGATCGAGTTCTTCGCAATCGATGCCAATTCTACCAGGTTTTTTGGACTTACCCATAGTGCATTAATACTGTAAAATACTGCAAGCATGTGGTCCAGATCGACGAGACTTTCTTGTATGGAAAATACAAGCAAAATTTTACTATTGACAGCTGTCCAAGATGGTAATCGCAACATTCTTCCAGTTGCTTTTGCCCTTGTTGAAGGAAAAGATACATATTATTGGGTTTTTTTCCTCCGAAACTTATGTTCACATATTATCACGAGGGAAAAAATCTGTGTCATTTTAGATCGCGGAGCTGGGATCAAAGCAGCAATGGAGTCTTTGGGTCCAATGTGGAAACCACCCTTTGTCCAACATAGGTACTGTATCTGCCACATTACTGCGAACTACCATGAAAGGTTCAAGAAGAATGATGAGCGCCAATTACTTGTGCGCATGGGTAAGTGAAACTGATGTAGTTTTTTTTCTTTCAATCATTTTTATTTTTTATAGAAACAAAGTTAGTAAGTTTTACATTTTATGCTCAGGTTATGAACTACTACCTCAAACATTTGAATCCATGCTTCAAGATTTGCGGGCGAAGAATGAGGAAGGATACAATTACATCAGCCTCATCAATAAAAAAATATGGACAAATGCATATGATGGTGAATATCGATATGTACACATGACGACCAACTTGGCTGATGCATTCGTTTCGACCTTAAAGGGGGCACGTCACTTGCATGTAACGGCTTTGGTAAAAATAACATATTTTCATTTGGGAGCGCTTTTTGTGAAGCTCGGGGGACAAGCTCAAACATGGATGCAAGGCGGTCATGTCTATCACCCTAGATTAGTTACAGATCTACAAAAAAATTGCTGCATCAAATGGAATGTATGTAACAAGCTTCTCTAGAACGCATGAATTTTTTCGTGCCACAAAGATGCTGCGACCTCTTCAAGGGATTGAAGCTAACTCGTTAAGAGTAAATCTACGGGACAGATGGTGCGAATGTGGGGTTTTTCAAGCTCTAAAGTATCCATGCTCTCATGTGATAGTAACTTGCTCGCATACTCATCAAGACTATAACCGTTTTGTAGATCCCGTATACCTACTATCAGAAGTGTTTAAGGTATACGAATTTGAGTTCCCCCATAGGTAATGACAAAGACCCTAATGAGGTTCAGAATTGGGTTCCAATTGTACCAGATCTGACTTTATTGAGGGACCGTGGTAATCCAAAATCCACTCGAATTCATTGTGATATGAATATTCGAAAAACATCTAGACAAAACAGAAGATGTGGGCATTGTAGAAACCCAGGACACACTAGAAAAACATGTCCACTTCTTTTGTCATCAAGTAACCATTGATGAGGAACTGATGTAGTTGTTGTTTATCAAAGAATAATTCTTATAATTTAATTTACATTTACATAAAGTTAATGTCATTTGATAACCAATGATTAATTAAAAAAATAATACAAGAAAACCATAAAGAAGAACCATTCAAAGCATAAATTATCCATCAACATTGATAAAGAAGAACCATTCAAAGATATGACACATTTTTATTGGTACAACGGGATTCGATGTTGGCGTTATATGTGATTAAAATAAAAGAGATAATAAATGACAAACTTAAGAAAGTTATCGAACATAATTATTATATTTTATCAAACAGTAACCTAACGGCCCAACATCCATGACCCAACCCAGGGCTAGCCTGAATCAGCCCAGTAATAGGGTTTTGAAACCCTAAATTATCACTACTTGCTAGCTTAGTCGCCGCCGGCTCTTCAACTTCCTATGCACGTGCACTACACTGTCTCACTCCCGAGCCCTGAGCCATCACCATTTGTTTTTCGAGCCATCTCAAGCCGCGTCTATCACCAACAGTGGCCAATACATCCATCAGTCAAAAAGAAATATATAAAATAGTGAAAAAACTCAGAAAATCTCTCAAATCTTATCCTATATCATAGGATATCATTTTCCCAACTGAGTACTCACATCCATCAAACAACAAGTCATCATCAATCACAAACAGAGTAACAAATAAAGGGAAAGAGAAAGAAGAAAAGGAGACCATTTTTGGGGGGTTTGGTGAAAATGAAAAAAATGAGATAACATTTGGGGTTTTCAAAATAGAGAAAAATATTCGAAAGCCAAAAAAAAAAACAAAGATAATAGAGGGAGAGAGGTAAGAGTTTACCTTACTTGAGCTCTCGACAGAGCCATGATTCACTGAATCTCGGTAGAGAGGCTATTTCATGGTCAAAAGGGGCGATGGATGGGTTTGATTAGGCAGTAGGTTTGTGGGATACGATGGACAAGGGTCGGATTTGGGGTGTATAACTCTTAGCCGCCGTGAGTGTCTGAGAGAGTTAGGGTTGAGAGATTTTAATCTCTTTGTTTCTCGTGGGGCTGATGAGAGAATGAAGAGTTGAGTTGGGTTTTGGCTTAAGATTAAACCATTTATTTCAAATACAAAACGACGTCGTTCAATGGAAGGCCTTCCGCGTGATTTTATCTTGTGGGGTAACTACAATCTAGGTCATTCCTCATCTGTAATTTTTTATTTTGGCCATTAATGGAAATGCATTCTATTTTAATTTCGAGCTCTAATGTTTCATATTTTTATTTTAATCCTTATTATGTGTCATATTATTTATTTATTTTTTGCTAATGTTCGACTCTGGTTTTTATATTCGTAAATGTTTCATTTTCGTCCCTGTCTAGTTATTATGCATTTTTGCTAATCTTCCGGATTTTATCTTATTTTTGTTTTATTTTATTTTAATCCCCATTTGTAACTGCAATTATTATGAGAATATTTGAAAGCAGTCATAGCATTCATGCAAGTTCACGTTCTAGTCCATGTTTGTTTGTATTTATTATTTATGGTGTTTTTGACTTCTGCTTCAATTTTTATGTAACACTCATTTTGGTCCTTAAATAATGTTTAGAATATAAAGACTTAAATCCTATAGGTTTAATTTTATTTTAAGTCATTATATGTTGATTCTGAAACATCTATGTTTATGGGTTTATTACACATCTAGACTTTTATTACTTTATTTTGGTGGTTTGGTCCTATCCTTAGTTTTACTTTAATCTTTATTAATTAGGTGCACTACAATTTGATTATCTCTAAATATGATTTTGTATTCTCTAGTAGATTACTTGCGTTTATTTATATTTCTCGTTTATTGTTTGTATCTATGATATTATATTTGCATGCATGTATGTATTTTACAAATTTTGACCTTATATAATATATATCCATGTATGTGATGTAAATTTAGTTTGATCTCATTTATTTATTTCATAAAGGACCCGTTAGTTAATGTTTTATTACATACCTGATTCTAATATTTTGCAAATATTTTATCCTTTATATTTTATTAGGTATACTTGCATCTTATAAATATTTCAATATATATTCTAA